GTTAATTCCTTTCCCCCCCCCCCCCTTCCCTGGCTCAGGTTACATCTCAGGTAGCTTCCTTCAAGGGAAGTCCCCCCTCCTCACTGCAACCCCCCTGCAACATTCCCAGGTCAAATCTGCCCTGCTCCCTGCTCCGTCACAGATATTCATTATCCCCACACTTCTATTTGTTACATTTTTTTTTAATAGCTCCCCTCTAAACCAGGCCAGTTTTCTAACTAGCTCAGCCTTCCACCTCCATTGTGGGACTGTGGGTTTTTGTGATTCCCAAGTACCGGTCACATTTTTCTGATTAAATTCTTACCATTAATTTGGATCATAATAGTTTTCAGCTTTGTGAAAGTGGCCCTCCTAACTCACCCAGTGTATATATTACTGGTCTGCTGGCACATTATAAAAGTGATCAAGTCACTTAGTTCTGTGCTGTCTGTTACACCAGGGTCTAATATGGAATTCCCCCGTGTGGGCTGCAACACTTTTTAAGTTTGGAAATTGTTGTCTGTGACGTTTAGCGATTCCAAGGGTGTTTGGGTAGCAGCACCATGAGATCTCCAGTCTGTAGATCCGTGGGTGAGGAGCCAATCACTGGGTTCTGCTACAGACCACGAATCACGCTAGGGAAGAAGATGACACAGGTGCTCCCAAAGATGGTACAAGTTGCCTCGAGAGGCGTCTTCTGCAGATTCCACGCTGAGGACCTGGCGTCGATTTGAAAGTTCTGGCTGTGTGGAATTCTTCCTGGTCCTCTTCTCTCTGGGGCCCACCGCCTGCCCCCTCGCTCATCTGACTCCCATGGCTACAACCCGCCAGGCCTCTCTGACTTCCTCTCTCTCTAATTCCTTGGCAGCCAGCTCCCTTCTTCCTCCAGCCTGGGCTACCCTGAACCTGGCTGCCTGGGAACTCCTCTGCCTCTGAGTCTCAGCCGCATCTCTGCTCACCCCTCCATGCACCAGCACACCAGGGGCTCCCTGTGGGCTCCAGGCAGGGAAGAGAACGTGGCCGGGCCATTGCGTGGCCATCTCAATCACATGTAGGACTGATCCTGCCTCCCACGCTCCCTCCAAAGCTCCCATTAGCGGCCTCTGTTCACGGCTCTCGAGTTCGCCGAGCAAGTGACCGAGTCTTCCAGCTTCCCTAAACTGCACCCCTTCACCACTCAGAGATTTCGAACAGCGGCTGATCAAAGCTCCGGTGGCTTGCAGCCTTTAGCAAGGCCCTGCTCACTCTGGGCCCACGTACCCAGAACAACCCCCCAGACCAAACGCACCGTGCCCTGAGGCCCACTCCCCCAAGCACTCTGCACCTCCGCCCTTTGCTCCTGGCCGTAGGGGTGTTACAGGTGTGCATTCAAACACCTCCTGTCCGCTGGAGCCCAGCGCTCAATCAGTAGCACGGCCGCTTTGTAAATTACCAATCACCCCATTTTTGTGTCATCTGAAAACTTCATCAGTGTTTGAGATTTTCCAGGTGTGAGCGAGTGCAGGGCCGAGAGCCAGCCGCTGTGGGCCCCCCATGTACCATCACATGCTGAGACCGCCCGAGAGCCGGCTTTCAGTCTCGGGGGTCTGCACGCCAGGCCCCGGGGGGGGGGTCGCCCGCTTCACCGCCTCTGATGGGACCTCTGGGACGTCAGCCCCCCAGCTCCACCCTGTGAGCGCCGGGCAGGGAGTCCCAGGGAGATGGACCTCGCAGGCAGCTTTTACCATCTTTGGGAGCAACGCACCCTCTGCCGGGGCTGCAGGGACCCCACAGCCGGGTCGCTAGCTGCCTGGAGCCCTGCGCAGGAGGTGCTTGGTTAGCAGAGAGCAGTGCCCGTTCCAGCAGAACCGTCCCGGTCAATCAGAGCCCAGAGCTGTCGCTCCCTCGCCTAGCGCTCACCTCACCACCCCTCTCCGCCCCCTGCCTTTGTCCCCGAGCTGGGGGACCCGGCTCAGCCCCGGCAGCCAGTCTCTCTCCCGGGCCCTGGTTGCCAGGTGTCCATGTGCGGACAAGTGGATTTGCTATTGTCTTCTCCCTGCTCTCCTGATATGGGGATTCAGGCCTAGACGGCTGGGCAGCACCGCATCCGCATGGGACCCTGCCTGAGAACACACAGACCCCCCCACCCCCCCAGGTACCAATGCAGCACAGAGGGGAAATGAGGCACTCAGGGGCTTCATACAAATCTTACAAAAAAGTCCCACTTCGTCCCAGGGCCACGTTCATTTGATATCTCTCTAGCTTTCACGCCTTGCAGAAGGCTGGAAAGTCTCCCTAGACACCCCCGTCCTCTGACCTTGTTCCCCTGCTTGTAGACGGCTGGCCATTGCGAGGGGTCATCAAAATACAGCAGAATATTCTCACAGCACTTGGCCTGCAGGGGGGAACCAGAGAGAAGGGGCTGGTAAATAGGGGAGTCAGGCTCAGCAGGGACCCAGGCATCCGGGCGACTGGACTGGCACTCACCTCTGGGTAGCGGAACCGGAAATCCAGGCGTCCATAGTCAGAGAGGAAGCAGAACCGGGTCAGGAACACCCAGTCCTGGGAAGACAGGGAGAGGCCTGGTAAGGGGGTGGCAGGGAAGGGCCAAGCCCGCCCCCCCCATGAGCAAAGAGGGGAAGGGACTCACCCAAGGTCACAGAACCCAGGAGTCCTGGCTCCTAGCCCCCTCTGCCCCTCTCTCCTCCTCTGGACCCCACTCCCTTCCCAGAGCCGGAGAGAGAACCCAGGAGTCCTGGCTCCCAGCCCCCCCTGCTCTGACCACTAGACCCCACTCCCCTCCCAGAGCCTGGTAGAACCCAGGAGTCCGAGCAGCCAGCCCCCTCCCCCACCCAATCTCTGTCACCCGACACCCAGGACAGGATCAGGTCACCAAGGTGCTGCTTAGTAGGACAATAGCGTCACCATGACGACCAGGCCTCCCCGCAGCCCCCCAGCACAGGCCATCCTAGGCCCAGGACGATTGGGGGCAGGCAGCCGGGGTGTGGGGAAAAGGGGTAGAGGGAGTGACCGGGGTGGGGGCTCCTAGGGGATGGGGTCAGGGAGTGATGGGCTGGGGGGATCACGGGGGGGGCCATGAGGGGTTGTTTTTGACCCGGCTATGCCGCCCCCCCCCCAACCCGGACTCAGTCTCATGCTCCAGGTTTCCACGGCAACTGCGCCGCAGGCTGAAGAAGGCAGAGAAAATAAGAATGAACCGGGAATTGGGGGGTGGGGATCCCCATCCCCCCACTGCCTTGCACCCTATAGCCTCCTCACCCCCACCTCAGGTGCCCAACCCCCCACTGCCTTGCACCCTAGAGCCTCCTCACCCCCACCTCAGGTGCCCATCCCCCCACTGCCTTGCACCCTAGAGCCTCCTCACCCCCACCTCAGGTGCCCAACCCCCCACTG